AGTATAGATGGAGAGAGAGAGGTAAGAGAGACACATCAATTGGTTGCTTCCCAAACACATCCAGACCAGGGCCAGGAATTGAACCCGTGACCCTTTGATGCATGAGCAGACCCTCTAACCACTGAGAAACACTGACCAGGGCTGGAAGTTGGCATTCTGTCCAACATCTTTCCATTTCCCTATGCTTCCCGTGCTGAGGATCATTCCACTGTATGTTTTTATGAGTTTGGCATTTGTATATTCCACATATAAGTGGGAACATACAGTATCTGTCTCCCTCTGTCCCATTGGTCTCACTTAACACAATGCCCCAATGCCTCACCCATGTCAGAGCTGGCAGGATTTACGCCTTCTTTGTGGCTGAATGGTATTCTTGTATTGTATGTACTCAGAAAATGGCAAATGCCACATATCAGAGCATCCTTATAAGTGATGATTTTCAGAGGCAGCACAGCACAAGGCTGTCCCATCAAACACTAATGTATTGAATCCAAGTGATATCATTATTGGGAAAATAGCACAGTTGACATCGATGAAGATGGGAAGGGATGTGAAGTCCAGAGAGGGGCATAGGCATCATTTTGGATTTCTCTTTTCTAGGTTTGTATCTAATTTTGCCCATTTGTTTAGTTGCTGAATCCAGGCAAAGTCCTCTGAACAGAAGAAAGGACTCAATAATGTTCATCTGGTCACGCGGAGATAAAAAGTAAATAATATACAGCATGGATGGAACTGGAGAGCATTATGCTAAGTGAAATAAGCCAGTCAGAGAAGGATAAATACCACATGATCTCACTCATTTGTGGAATATAATGAACAACATAAAGTGATGAACAAGGACTGATCCAGAGACAGAGAGGCATTGATTGGACTGTCATATTTTTTATATATTCTTTTCTACTAGAGAAGTCCCTGTAACATTTGTTGTAACATTGGTTTAGTGGTGATGAACTCCCTGAGCTTTTTCTTTTGAGAAACTCTTGATTTCTCTCTTGATTACACATATGTAATATCTTAATCAATAAAAAATATATTTTTAAAAAAGTAAATAATATGTTATCAAGTAAAAATAGACAGATATTTTACAGTAGAATTGTGCACTTGAAACTTGTATAATTGATTAAACAATGTCACCCCAATAAATGTAATTTTTTAAAAAAAGTGGAGGAGAGCATGAGGTGTTAGATGTGGGGACCCACACTTGCCATGTAGGATGGTCCTTCAAATCACAGGGGTGAGGAAAGAAGTGGGGGGTCGTTACCGAAAGTCAACTAAGACATGGAGAGGAAACTGGAAACTCACATTTAATAGTGAAAAAAGCTGGTCCATTTCCTGCACCAAACCATGTTCATTCCATTAGAAAAATCAGCAGGCAGTTCTCCCAAGGCATAGTCCCAACTTGCCTTCAGCGCCTCCTGGGATCCTCAGATGGGCTCCAAGGCTCCCCCACTCTGAACAGTGCATTGTTCCCTCTGGGTTCACCTCCTGGCTGCATCCTGGGTCCGCCTCTGGCTGTTTCAAGCCTGAAAGAGCAACACCCCGAGTGCCACCAGGACCAAGCCAGCCACGCCCATCCGGATGAGATTCCCCACGGTGTAGTCTTGGGGGTGGGAGGCTGGGAATTTGGAAAAACAGGTCACAGAGGCCAGGACCCTTGATATCCACCCAGAGCACCCACCTCCCCTTGATAGGACATGACCCTCTAAGCCCAGTCCCATAACTAAGCGTTTCTCCTACTCACCGATCTTGGGGTCTGAGTTGTTTGGTGATGGGTAGAGGGTGTCATCTGCTCCTGAGAATCATGACATGAGGGTGTGAGTGAGGACCTAGGGAGACAAGTGCCTTCTTCCTGGGCCCTGTGCTTTCAGATGCCCCACTTCTCAGATCATAACTTTTGCACCGTCCCTCATCCCCCCAGCCCCACAGCAGGAGCAGCAGAGTAGGGAGCCTAACCAGGGCTGATCCACCTTTGTTCCCTCCTCTGAGCTGAGGGACAGGACCTGGGTGCCCGGACCCTTGTCCTGTCTGTCCCTCCCTGTACAGTGTCACCATCACTGAGACAGAGGGGACAGGCCCCATAACATCACATCTTGGGGGCTTCCCTGTGGTGCCCCCTCTCCCAGGAGGTCAGGACCAGAACTGACAGGAAATCTAAGCTCTGGACAGTGATCTCTCCTTTACACTTGGAGACACACAAGGGAAAAGATGTGTCCAAATCAGAGGTAACTGAGGCCTCTGCATGACTCAGCCCCTATCCCACATGGACACACCCACCACCACAGAGACCCTCACTTACCTCTCTGCAGGCCTGACACTGTGGCTGTGGGTGTCCATTTCTCAGTGGGTCCTGGTTGATCAGAATGGAAAGTGAAGTGTGGGTGCTGCCATCACCACATGTGACCTTGGCTGCTCCTCACCTAGCCTGGGCCCCAACATCTCCCTCTGCCACAACCATTCCTCCTGTCACTTCCCAGCAGACCTTTCAATCCCTGTGGTCCCACAGAATCCTCATCTGACACCCAGCAGCCCTAAGACACAAGCCTTAAGTATTTGAGGGGAGATTAGACCCCTGAGAGACTCAGAACTTCCTGGGTCATCTGTGTTCCCTCTGAGCAGAGATCAAGGTGACTCATCAGGCCTGGTAGGTGGGGTCTGGGGCCCACAGTGGGTTTTAGGGTGGGGAGGTTAAACACTTCTTGGAACTAGATAGTCGTTGTCATTGAGACATTGTGTGTTTACTGTATTCTTGTGATTTTCATATTTCAAAAGGCTCAATTGTATGTTATGTCACTGTTGCTCTAATAAAAATAAATGCAAGTGCAACTCGCATGGTTCCCTACAGCTCCCTTATACCTTGGAGGTTGCCACAATGGTGTCCATGGAGTTTTATGGAAGCGGGACTACCACTGGGTCAGAGGTGCCCTAAGCGCCTTAGTGCTTACAGACCAACCCACTGATGAAATTTTCACCTTCACTCCTGACTTGGGCTGAGTCTAGGATCCCGGCTGAGGCCCACCAATCCCTGCATCCTTTTGTCTGCACTCATCTGCCATTCAACCAAGGATGCACTATAGCTTCTGATTCAGCTTGTAGGCTTGGGGGACACACATGTGACTTCCAAACAGCCCTTCCCACCACACGTCTCTCATACACATGCCTTCATCAGGTCAGAAAATGACACCAGATTTCCGGCCAACATGGCTCAGTGGTTGAGCATTGACATATGAGCCAAATGGCCATGCTTCGATTCCTGGTCAAGGGCACATGCTTGGGTTGTGGGCTCCATCCCCAATGTGTGGATTGCAGGAGGCACCCGATCAATGATTCTCTCTCATCATTGATGTTTCTATCTTCCCTTCTCCCTTTCTCTCTGAAATCAATAAAAAAATTTTAAAAAAGAAAGAAAATGACACCAGATTGGGGCCCTTCATGTCTCAGACACTGCTGATCCTCATAACAACCTCAGAGGTGAGGTTTCACAATTTTGCCCAACAGGTGAAGAGGTAGAGGAGAAGAGACTGGCTCAAAATAGAAGTTCAATAAACGTGTCCCCAGGTCTTAGATTACAACCTGGGATTGGCCTCCAAAGTGCTCTTCTGCCCAAAGCATAGAGGTGGAATCAACAGCATAAGACAAAGAGGTACAGTCTGGGGGACAAGCGGTGGTGAGGAGGCAGAAAGGACTCTGAAGGTTAGATGGAGAGGGATGGAGAGCAGGAGTTCTGCTTACAGAGACAAGAATGTCAGAAAGAGGAAGTGATAGGGAGAAGCAGCGGCACACACCCAGGCCTTGAGGGCAGTGCTGGTTGCCTCTGTGGGTGATTGACAGTTTTGTAACATCCCCCAGGCCTCCTGCTCCTCTTGGGGTCAGCAACCTGGATACAGCCCCATTGGCTCCTGCAGAAACCCAAGGCTGAGAGAGGATGAGCTCTCTGTTCCCCTCACACCCTGAACCAATCCCACTGTTCTGGATCCTGGTTCTCCTTTCTGTGACCCATTTCTCCACACAGACAAGCTCAGGTGAAGACTCAGGACAGCTTGTTTGTGTGACTGCATCAGCCTCCTGGCCTCCTCTAGACCCTCTTTCTCGGCTCATGTGTTTCATTCTCATGGCCCCAAATATACCTGTCACCGACCATCCCCTGCACAAAGCCTGTCCACGGGTCCCCCCTGACTCCAGCCACATCCAGGGATCTCCACCCGGCAGTCCATGCTGCTGATGATCAGGCTGAGCTACACTCTCCAGTCCCAGTGAGGCCAAGGCTTCCTCCAACCAAACTCATCCCAGTGAACCTCCTCCCCTCCCCCAGGTCACAACCCGGGTTAGGGTTGTATAGTTTTGAATGTACAATTCTAGAGTACCACATCTATATATTTTTATGGGATACCATGTTACTTACTTTTTATCACCACATGACCAGATGGGCATTGTTGAGTCTTCTTCTCTTCTCACAGGACTTCACTCTCCAAACCTTCTAGACAGAAACAACATACATTTATTTCCAAAATGTATTCCCTGCATTTTGGAAGAAAAGCAACGGACTTTGCAATAATCAATGTGTGAATCAAAACAGAAGTGAATGTTTTAGATTAAATGATAATGTAACGATTACACATCGAACTTATGAAATGAAAAAAATGAAAAACCATGTGTGCTTGTGTGTGTGTGTATGTGAGTGTATGTGTGAGTGTGTGTGTGAATATGCCTGTTTGTGTGTGTGTATGAGTGTGTGAGTGTGTGTGTGTGTTCATGGGCAGCTGTACCCATCTGTCTGAGGGATGCAGAGGTGAGAGCTGAGGTGGGAGGGTCACATCTGGATGATCATGAACAGCCTTGAGTGCAGAAGGAAGAGCCTGGATTCACCCTGAAGACAGTGAGGACCATGGAAGGGTTTAGGCATAAACAGCTTCTGAAAGGGAGTTGCAAAGACAGAATTGGAGGGTGAACTGGAGAAGGGAGTGAGGGTGTGAAGCTCAGAGCCCAGGAAGGAGGTGGACGCAATGGCTGCCTTGAGGGGTAATGTTAAATGGGCTCACACCTCCTTCATGTCCTTCAGGGCTGGGCTGTGAGAGGGACACAAAACAGAAAGCAATGCAGGATGGACAGCCATGTGGGATGGACCCTCATATCACAGGGTGAGAACAGAAAGTCCTCTCTCTGACTTTCTTGTCTCTGTGAGCAGAGCCCCTACTCTCCAGCCCTCTTCATCAAACCTTCAGAGTCCTCTCTGCCTCCTCACTGCCTCTTGTCCCCCAGACTGTACCTCTTTGTCTAATTCTGTTTATTCCATCTCTATGCTTTGGGTAGAAGAGCATGTTGGAGACAATTCCCAGGTTATAATCTAAGACCTGGGGACATATTTATTGAACTTCTATTTGAGCCAGTCACTTCTGTCTCTGTGCCTCTGGACTGGAAAAACAAAGGGGCCCTCAGGACAGTGATACCAGGGGTGGAGGAGTGGGGCCTGGGGCTATGCAAGATGCATCTGCTCCCACAGGGCAGCTCAGCGCCTTTTCCTGGCCCTGGGACGCAGGTCCTATGTGTCACAGAGGTTCCACCTGACTTTCTGTCTCTGGGTGCAGCGGGATCTCTCCATGTTCTGGGGGTCAATCATCTGAGTGATTTCTGCCCCTTCAGAGCACCTTTGA